GAAAGAGAGAGAGAGAGAGAGAGAGAGAGAGAGAGAGAGAATTACAGAAGACACGACAAATAATAAAAATAGAAATTGAGGACTACTTCTCTCGCGTGTTCACAATAATGTGCTACTGTCGGGGGTTTTTCCATGTAATTTGCTGTAGATTTATTATATGACTTGTTCGTGACTACGGCTGTTTCTGGCTGGCAATACTGATTCTTCATGAATAAAATGGAGGAAGCCAAATATAGATCAAAACGGACGAAGGCGATTGTTTGAAATTATGAATAATGTCTTTTCTCCCTCGGACAATTAAATGGGAAAAACCAAAAATAGACCTGCACTGTTAAAGGTAATAATGTTAAACTATGACTAATGCATTTCTCCCCTGGTCTCTTCAAACTCATTGGCGTCATGGAGATTTTTTTTAAAATTGTAGTTGTTTCATTTTTTTTGGCTTCACACTAATGTTCTGTAAGTTCGCAAATCATACAGTCATGACAAGAGCTCTGCTGGTGCCATTGTCAGATGCTGAAGTGAAGTTATACCTTATTTGAGGTTAACTTGTAATTTGAATTCTGGAACAGAGCTCTACACAAAGAATGGCCAGCATGGCATTGTTGAGAACACGAGCAAGATCTTTGTGTAAAAAGAGTTAAGATATTTAAATTCACCCCACCTCACCTCACCCCAAAGAAAAAATCGCCACCCCTTCACCCCCACCCCACATCCCGCCCGGAAAAAATATAAAGAGAAAACATTGAAATATTAAAACATTCATCCTGAAAAAGAGAAAGGAAGAAAGAAGGTAGGGCTTTTGTTGAAAGAAAAGTCCCCTGGGTACCATTGTCTTTTCGATGTCTTCTGGAAGACCGAGTGTGAGATTTCTCAAATCGCTCTCTGTAGAGAATTCAAATCTTCTGCTTTCTTTTTGTGTTGAGGCATGGTGGATTGGGGGAAAGGGGGGGGGGTCATCTTTTATGTATCTCCTTTCTGGTTTTCAGTATTTAAATCTGTGAAAAAACGTATTATTGGTGTATAGTCTGTTTGTATAGTATGCTGTATTTTTATTGTATTAATGTTACATTATATGTATATATATACCAGATAACCGCAGTCTACAGAAAGCTCTATTCGCTTTACACTTTATACTATTGCCTATCAAATAAACATCGTAACGAGGGGGGATCAGAATTGAAAGAAATGGAAGTTGCTGTCTAATGGAGTTTATCTATAACATGTCTGCTCTCGAACCAGCCATAGGATATTCATGTGGCGTCACGCTTGATTATGCTGAAGAGATTCTCTTTAATTAAACCACTAAATCTTTACCAAACTCCGAGACTGCTTTACAGTATCCTTTAGTCAGGAAAAGCATGCACACACATTTTCCCTGCTATTTTTTTCTGGAGGTGTCATATCTGACTCAGAGGTTGACGTGTAATGACCCTCCATCTTTCACAGCCGCGAGCTGTCGCTTCACATTCTGCCATATCCAGGCCAGCCCATGTTCTTATGTTATTTATCCATATTTTTCTTTGTCTTCCCCTGGATCTCTTGACCCACATGTTTCCTTCAAGTTCAAGCAGCTCTTTCACAATTGGCTCGTGTCGTTTTAAGCGGCCAACGTACTGCATTTTTCTACATTTTATATATTCAACAGGGTTTGTCCTGTATCATGTAGAATCTGACATACCTCCTTGTTAGTCTTTTTTGTTTTCCAACTTATTCTGGCCATTCTACGGTAGCAACACATTTCAAACGCCTATTTTATTTGGTGTTCTTTCTTTCTTTATCAAAGTCCAGGTCTCTGCGCCCTATAGGAATATAGGGAAGATGTAGCATTCCAGCATATTTCTTTTTAAAGTGCTATCACCCCCCCCACACACACACACACACACACACACACACACAATATTTTGAACGCGATATGACTTAACCAATTCTGCATTCCCCTTTTCTTTTCAGGAACTAGAAAAGGATCTCACAAAGCCTCGAGGTTGGGTTCTGTGCGACGCGTCTAGACAACTCAACTGGTTTTAAATTAGTTCCGCCAGGCACGTCTGCTTTCTCCCGCTGGAACGGGCCGACAACTCATCCTGTTTAACAACAGAACTGTTTCAGTGGCTGGACCTTGCCCTCAAGACAGGTGAGACGTAGAAAATAAAAAGAGAAAAGTAGAAGAAAAAAAAAGACAGAGAAAAAAAAACAACAACGCGAAGACGTTTGGGGGAGAAAAGCGTAAGGCAGCGTATAGATT